AAAAACACACACACACACACACACACACACACACAAATCTCATCCTTCATAACTGCAGATAACATTGCAGAAAGAAATTATTGTAATGGCAAAGGTGCTCAAAGTGTTCAGAAATGATCTCCAGTGATTTATTTTGTAAAACGTAATCAGACATGAAGATGTGAACAATGTAAGCAGATTTTCTTATTGTGCAAACCTTCAAAATATTTACATTATGTGCTAATAAAAATGAAACAAACAAAATAATCCTTTCTATATAAAAACACACATTTGTCCCTTCCCCCAACACATTAAACCTGAATCTCTGGCCACTACATTCCTCCATCTATAACAGGGGTGTCAAAGGCCTTCAGCAGCACCTCACATCATCACATCCAGCTCTGAACCTTTCACTGCCCCCCTGTGGACTCAAGAATAATGGTACAACCCTACCCATGAGTCAGCCTGTTGCCGTGGCAACACCATCCCACCAAGGGATGGAAAATGGGCCAGAAGAGGAAGGGGGAAAAGCACCATGAGAGGAGCATTTATAAACATATATAAATACAGAGCAAAGCATATTTATCCTCCACAAAAACAACATTGGAAATGACCATCATCTCTCATTTAGGCACAAACTTAAGCTCTCATATATCATACCAAACAAAGCTAGAAATACAATCAGTGTGACCAAGGCCAAAATATAAGGGTTTGTGGTGAAAAATATGCATGTTTTTGGGGTGGTTTTTTTTCTTGCACACTGACTGACCAGCTGTGCATAACCCATAAATATATCAGACAAAGACTGCAGGGAGGTGCAGGCGGAGAGGGGGAGGGGAGAAATAAAAGACAGAAGGAGAGAAAAAGACACGAAGGAAAGACAGCTTCCCTTGTATAGGGATGATTCACTTGCGAAAAATACACAAATTATACATTAAGACATAAGATTACATTTAGTTTTTTTTAAAACGTTAAATAGTTTTATCTGAAATCAACAGAAAAAAAGTTCAAACATCAAAAGATATGACCCACATTCAGATATAACAGAACAAAAACAACTAGTTAAAATGGCTTTGCGGCCACATGCTTTAGTTTACTGTCTGTAGACACAGGTCACTGTATATGTGTGTGTGTGTCCTACTGTCTCACTGGCCTTGATAAACCCTGTTTAATCCTTTCAGAGGATCAGTGTGCTGCAGGATGAGGACACACACATGCACACGCTGCAAAAACACACAAACTTACACAGAGTGATGCAAATGGACGCCCGAACCAGCATGATTCTGTATCATCTGTGTGCCATGTATACAAGAGCATGTGCACTTCAAATAACAGCATTCCTCTGGGAATCAACAATCATCCTGTATTAATCTGTTCTGAGAGCCACACCAGTTCACAAAGCTCACGAGAGACAGATTTCTTCAGGAGAGATGCACTGCTGCATCAAAGTGAAAAGCAGAATAGGACAGAAAATAAAAGAATTCATTTAAAGATGCTCAAGATACAAGAAACATAAACTGTTTTTCTAGCAAAAAAACACATTAAATGCTTCCCTTTTGCTATAACCACCGCAAAAAAATACATTTTAAGATTTTAAACACCTGACTTTGATAGCTATATGCTATACTTTAGGAATAACATTTTCTAGATAAAGCCAAGTAAACATACATGTCTCAAAGAAAGTATTACAGTGAAAAACACTGTACAACCAGTCAGGTAAAGCGAAACATAGAATACAAAGGCGATCTTGACTGTTTTACATATGAAAAAGTGTCCTTGACCTTTCATATTGGCTTTTACACAACGGCGATGTGCCAATTAAGAATGCTTTGAAGCAAGAAGCCCATTTCAGTGATTTGTGAGGAAACAGCTCCCAAAGCTCAAGAGCTTGTGGATTTATGATGTACATTAAAGAAAAGGCACTAATAAGTCCAGGAACTGAAGATTAGAGAAATGAAGGCCAGATGTGGGACACCCAAAGGCAAAGAGGGTAACGGTTCACACGGTCACAACCGAAGAAATGCAGATGTGCCGCCACACACAAACAACAGAAAAAGTGTCTGTGCATGATTGACTTTGCATATAATTACGGTAGACACTAAAGACATTTAAGACTCATTTTCATTTAAGAAAAATGACAGGGAAATGTCACTAAAATGGTTATTTCAAGTAGCAACTTCCATAGTAGCAGTTTGCATAGGCAAGCAGCACATCTGACTACCACATGTCTCTTCTTTAATGTGCTGCAGAGAATAGAGGCTCCACAACTGATAATGAGTCTATTAAAGAGAAGCCAGGGTACACTGGAAAATAAACCAAAATATACAAGCTATAAAGTTGAAGTCAACCTGAAATGACTCTCAAGAAGCAAATTTACTTCCATAATATGACGCATTTCAGAGTAAAACAGGACATTCAAGTGAAGCTACAGCTAATTTATTATGTGCATGTCTGTTTACTGTTTTGATGACAAGAGCAGAGAAAACATGGGCATTTCTAAGTCTCAAAGTGTGTTTCTGGATTTGTGATAGTTATATGGTAAACAAATTCAGCTTTTTTACATGTATAATAAAATTGAATCTTTTATATAAGCTCTTACAAGGCTGTCACAATGGCATGTATGTGGTTAATTTGTCATGATCTTCATATTCTAAACTATGTGTCTGCATTGCCTGTAGTCACAGGACTGTGCAGCTTTATAGATGTTCTGTCTCAAAATGTCTACTCGTATCTCACTGCAGTGGTTTTATATCGAGATGCAGAGTGCTGTATGATCAGGGCAATAATATGTGTGAAGCAGAAAATGGGTCAGTGAGTGAAAAAAAATAGTATGCAGTGTCCCTGTTCTTTCTGCAACACCTCTTCAATCTCTCTCTCTCCTCTGCTTTACTGCCCTTTGGACCATCAGAATCTCCAGCATGAAACAAAATCTGATATATTTGAGAATGCAAAATATCAGAGCTGGCATTCAGTTGCATGGTAAGTTATTCATCCTCTGATGAAAACAAAGATTCAGTTTGGATTTTGCTGCATTAGCCTCGACTCGCCTCTCAGCACACACCCCCTCCCCCACAACTCTGCAGTCTGTGAGATCAGAGCGCATTTCCTGTTTTCTCCTCCTGACAACAGCTGACATTCTAAAGGAGTGATTGTGTTTATATGCCACTGAATTTTTCTATGAACATAAAGTTGCTACAGAAGCATTTAGACACTAAAGTTCCACAAAAATGTGTGAATGTCAATAGACTAAATGACAAATATCATTATTTAAAAAATAAAATAGCACAAGCACACTTTAAATCAAGTTAAATTTACTGTTAAAAACAACTTTGTGTTTGTGAAGCATTAGTGGATCATGTTCACATTTAATGTGATTCTCTATACCTGTGGTTCCTCTGCTAGCACACCTGTGTGAACTTGAGGAAAACTAACTTAATACATCCACTAAACATCACAAAAACAGCAGTTGATGCTAGTGTCAAACACACTATGCAAACATAATGAAGAAAAGCAACTTTAGAAAGGAAAAAAATAAAAGATTCTGTATAAATACCTGGGGAAACTGTATGCAATACTGTAGGGGTCACAAAAAGAAATCTCACCTCTGCACTAACATCTTCTGTATTCCTGTTTTGCTTTGGCACAGTTCTTGTGCCACTCAAGTCAAAGTTTAAAACACTTTGACTAGAGGGCTGCAAAAACTTCAGATCACTCTTTCTGGAGTCAGTAGTGCCACACACCTCATAATTGTACACGTGCTGTAAAGTTCCTGTGCCCCCTACGTCTGCGTAAAGAGGCGGATAATACGGAATAACTGGAAGATTCGCTCCAGATTTGTAAAACA